CCCCTGCGGTATATGAATTTGTGGTGGTCCTGACAGTCAGCGCTCTGATTGGAGTGCTTGTTCACGCGGACAGTGCAGGGCGGTAAACTAAACTATATAAGGCGCCGTGAGGTAACGGCTTGGCGCCCAAAAAATTTATAAAATTACCGCTGTTGCCGCGCCCTCCCAGAATGTTTTATTGTTATTATTGTCTTGGTCTTTCATTGGGGCAAGGTCACCAGCCTAATTAAAGGGGGGATGGACAGCTGTGATTGGTTATATATTGGTTTAAGTTCTGGTTAATGGGGCGGAACGCTGGTAAGTCATGAGTTAAATCTCTTGGTGGTGATTAAAGTTACAGTTGTTTATGTTTGTAAACAAGACCACGGCCTTTATATCCATATTTCTAACTCTGTGTGTTTGGTTATTTGGTTTATTTAAGTTTATGTTAAGAAATAATCCCAGCAGTGCACAAGTCCAGAACAACCTACTTTCCAAACCCGACATTGCTTCAGAGGGTGGACCTACATGGAGTCGGTGTGGCTTTAAATCGAAAATCCTCCAGTCTTAATAGAATCCATCACAATTTATAGGTCCACCTGAAAGTGTGAGAGAACATTGCCTCTAAAATGAATGATGATAATCTTATCTCCATATCATGTCTTTTGACACATCTCTTTAATGACCAGAAATATTTATAGATCTTAGCAGGACTATTTACTGAATTGTGAATAGCAAGAAATTCGAAGTGAATTCAGAATGAATTTCAACTTTTAGGTCAAAATATCTTAAAAAGAAAAAAGCTAGTCAGAAAAGTCAGCGGTGTTATATTTGATTGAGTTTGGGTGAGATTAGATTCTTTGAGAGGAAATTCACTCTTACGAGCAACTCACTCTATATTCCTCATTAAACACCAACTTTACACACCAATCTTGTTTTGCTTTGTCAGTGGATATGCACACAGTCTCTGGTCTTTGAGGAAAAGGTGGATAGCTTCTCATTTTCCTCTTTAGCATAGACTCATTCAGTTCTTTTAGCTATGCAACCAGAATGACCCTAGGTCTTTATTTTCTTGCTATATCATTTCCCTACAGCCCATTCCCTCTTCTTTCTCTGTTTCTTCCACTTTCTTGTGCTCCTTCTCCCCATTCACCAAATATCCACCTTGGGTGCCAAATGCTCTAGGCATGCTCCTGGGCTTATCTACAAAAATAAGGAATAAACTGACAACAGTAAAGGAATTAATGATCACCTTCAGCCTAATGAATGGAATAAATGTGTTTCAATCAAATACATACTAGACAACAATACAACACAGAGGTAGTTTATCTATACTCCATGGACCCAACTACATACAGCTCACTGTACAGGTCACTTCTTTGTGGATTTATCTTAGTGTATGTAGCAATTGGATTCTTAAAATGGTTTCATATAAAATACGCAAAACCCTCTCACCCTCCACCATGGTTTTCATTAGAAAAAGACAAGTTCACATGTTTAACTACAAAATAAATTAACTCATGGCTAAAGCACAGAATGGTCTTAATTGGGTCATTTGGCCAATATGCAGATGTGATTGGCTTATGTAGAGTTCTCATCAACATTTTCACACCCATGTTGAATACTAATTTATCGAACACATAGTTGCAAAATTTCAATATTAGTACAAGGTATGTACTATAACAGTAGAATCCTAATGAGATAAAACGTATAAAATAATAAATAATACCAAAACACATACTATAATATTACTAAGCTTAGGGTTTTTATGGTTTCCACGGGTCCACATTGAAGAAGATATAACAAATAAGTTCTGTGACCTTCTACAACTACAATGGCTCTTATGTATAATTTTATTACGTAAATTACTCACATAATATAGAGCAGTTTTACTGCTCAGATGTCTCTGCTCATCTGTGAGGGGAACTTTGACCAACATTACTTTCATTGAGACCCGTAGTTGGACACCAGCATAAGGAAAGAGCGGAATGTTAGTCAATTGGAAGTGATAAATATAACCAAACATATTAAGAATATGTTCAATCTTTCTGGTAGATTTATGTAAGCTGAACTCATTGGCTTTTTAATGAAAGAGTCCTGCAGGAACGCGTGTGAACGGCATTACTGCACGTTTTCCACAGCAGGAACGCTGTTCCCTTTGGTAGTCCTGCAGGACCTACACTTGTGCCGAGGGGAGATCCTTCTCAGTTGCAGTCCTGGTCAGTTGCTTTGGCCCTCTTGGGCCGGTGAGGAGATCAAGGATCTCCCTTACCCGCCCGAGAGGCCCTGCGTTCATGACCGGGAAGGAGGAGGGAGCTGGGAGGAAGTACAGACAGCCTGCAGCAAGAAGAGCTTCATGCTAAAGAGCACTACCAGGGCTGGAAGTGTGTCTCTGTCCTGGATAAAGGTAAGAAGAAGGGGGGGTGGAGATACAAAGTGTGACAAACTGCCTTTTGTCACTGGGGGTTGGAGAGGCCTGCTTACCAGCCTCTTGCCTTGTGACTATGGTCCCTTTAAAGTATTGGGTCTTAAGGCACTTGGGACAGAGCCCTCTGTCCCTGGATTGCATTGTTTGCCTTATTTCTTGGATTTTATATTTCCCCTGGTACATTTGTATGTTGGTTCGTGCAGTCTAACTCCTATTACAGCCAGGATAATGTTGTTCGTACAGACAAACAAACTGCTGAACAGCCGACCACCCTGTCTGTGGAGTGTGCTGCTTGTTAGCCACGCAGAAGCTGCGGTTAACCACAGCTTAATTGATGAATGCCTGGGTGGCCGGTGTTCATATGAACGAACGCGCGGCGGCCATTTTAAACTGTCGAACACCCAGCGGTGTTTTGTCGTCGAATGCGTGGAACAAATTTCAGCTACAATTTCCTACAAACACCGCTGGGACTATCCAACCTCCACCTCATTCGTTTCTATTTGCACGAACGCCGTGCCGTTCAGTACATTCAATGCAAGAATGAGACCGACCCCAGGTAGCTAAATCCATTGAGCTAATTGTGGACAGATTTCTAGCGAACAGTCGGTGAACAGACTCTTTAGCTCCATGGCGATTTGACTGTGTTCGTGGGATCTGAGTGCTGTTTGACTATATTAAGCACTCAGACCCAAGCTATCTGAGGATATGTTGAATGTGGGGGTTCTGTTCGGCAAAATATAAGTTATTGATTTAATGTATTTTGTTACTTTTTGTAAAATAGAAATATTCTCTCTACCTGGAGATAATTAAGTTTGCTCAGGACACTTAAGCCAATTATCTCCAGGATAGAGGGGAGGGATTTTACTGTGTATGGGGGAGTGTTATTTTGTTAATTAGTGTTCCCATTGGTTTGTGTCCCCTTTGTCCCAGTTTATCACCAGGTCCAGGGGGTGTGCCTCTGGTCTGAAAACCTGTATAAAAGAAAGTCTTTTGGTGCTCATTAAAGAGATCATCTTGTACCTTCATGAAGTTTCGGTTCATGTTTGGGGGATGGGAGAACTACACTCTGGGGATTGCTATAATCACTATACTCCCCAGGATATAATCACTAAGCTCTGCTAAGAGCTTGTTCCTGTTCCTGCTCTCTAGAATTCGGAGAGATCAACCTACTGGAAGCTGGATCCTGGTCTTGGGTCCAGAGTGGGTGGAGACAGGCGAGACCCCAACCAAGCTGCGGCGGTTTGTGGGGTCTGTAGTGGTTATGGTGTCAGGTGGAGTGCTTGAAGCCCTTGGAAAGCACTAGGAGCATCCGTCAGCGGAAGGTACCCGGTCGGGGTGCCAAGCGGTTCCGTTACACAAAGCTTTTACTAATATTTATTTTTAATTAAAATAATAAATATACATATGCTCTCTTCACCTTATGCACCCCTCACACAAACACAAAACTCCCCCCTCACAAACACACAGCACCCCTCACAAACACACAGCACCCCCTCACACATACACAGCACCCCTCACACATATCGCCACTACACACATATACACTGCACCCCTCACTGAAGTCTGTGTGTGTGTATTTAGCACTCTGTATGTGTATTCAGCTGTCTGTGTGTGTGTGTGTATCCGGCAGTCTATGTGTATTCAGCAGACTATGTGTATTTAGCAGACTGTGTTTATCCACCAGTCTGTGTATTTAGCGCTCTGTGTGTATATTCATGTGTATTCAGCAGTCTGTGTGTGTCTATTCAGCAGTCTGTGTGTGTGTGTGTTTGTGTGTGTATTCAGCAGTCAGTGTGTGTGTGTATTCAGCAGTTGGTGTGTGTGTATTCAGCAGTCTGCCTGTGTGTATTCAGCAGCCTGTGTGTGTGTATTCAGCAGTTGGTGTGTATATGTGTGTGCATTCAGCAGTCGGTGTGTGTTCTGAGTATACACACAGACAGCTGAGGATACACACAGACAGCTGAGTATACACACAGACTTCTGAGTATACACACAAACAGACTGCTGAAAACATAGTCTGTATATTCAGTAGTCTGTGTGTGTATTCAGCTGTCTGTCTGTGTGTATTCAGCAGTCTGTGTGTGTGTATTCAGGAGTCGGTGTGTATGTGTGTGTGTATTCAGCAGTCGGTGTGTGTGCTGAGTATACACACAGACTGCTGAGTATACACACCGACTGCTGAATACACACTCAGATTGCTGAATACACACACAGAGACTGCTTAATATACACACAGACAGACTGCTGAATACACAATCTGTTTGTGTATTCAGCACTCTGTGTGTGTGTGTGTGTGTGTGTATGTGTGTGTACTCGGCAGTCGGTGTGTGTGTGTGTGTGTGTATTCAGCAGACTGTGTGTGTGTGTATCCGGCAGTCTGTGTGTATTCAGCAGACTATGTGTATTTAGCAGACTGTGTTTATCTATCCACCAGTCTGTGTATTTAGCACTCTGTGTGTGTATTCATGTATATTCAGCAGTCTGTGTGTATCTATTCAGCAGTCTGTGTGTGTGTGTATCCAGCAGTTGGTGTGTGTGTATTCAGCAGTCTACCTGTGTGTATTCAGCAGTCTGTGTGTGTCTATTTAGCAGTCTGTGTGTGTGTGTGTGTGTGTATTCAGCAGTCTGTGTGTGTGTATTCAGCAGTTGGTGTGTATGTGTGTGTATTCAGCAGTCGGTGTGTGTTCTGAGTATATACACAGACAACTGAGTATACACACAGACTGCTGAGTATACACACAAACAGACTGTTGAATACACTGCTGAGTATACACACGGACTGCTGAATACACACTCAGATTGCTGAATACACACACACAGACTGCTTAATATACACACAGACAGACTGCTGAATACACAATCTGTTTGTGTATTCAGCAGTCTGTGTGTGTGTATTAACCAGTCTCTGTGTGTGTGTGTGTGTACTCGGCAGTCGTGTGTGTGTGTGTGTGTATTCAGCAATCTGTGTGTGTCTATGTGTGTATTCAGCAGTCTGTGTGTGTGTGTGTATTCAACAATCTGTGTGTGTATTCAGCAGTCTGTCTGTCGATAATTTACAATTTTATTTCAGTGAGTTGTGGTGTAGGTAGAAGCCCCGGTGCACTACTTTGCCCGGGGGCCTATAATGCTGTTAAGATGGCACAGGTCATCATGTGAGTATATCAACTTCCTACAAGTGTGCAGAGGAGACAAACTTGTTTACAAATCACAAACAGTTCGCTGTTACTGTAAATTTTCCAGTATGTATCAGGTTTTCTCTTTGTGGCTACTGAAGCATGTTCAGATGGTTGTTTATCACTTTTGGGATATTAATATATAACCATATTAGAATGTCCTATAATTTTATATGAGATATCAAAATACACACTTCCTTTAAAAAATAAATAAAATCTACCATCAAGACCATTTGGAGCTTTAAAATTAATAAAAATTAGTCAGATCAGATCCTTTCCATAAGAAGTTCATGCCAAATGCACTTGTGTCTTGAGAAAGTTTTTAGAACGAAATGCAGAAACGCATCGATGAACTATTGACAAATATTTTTTGTCTGTGGATTTTATGTTTCGTAATTTGGTTGTTCACCATTAGTTTTCTACAGGAAGTGAACCAGCCAGTTATATTTCCTTAATTTTCTATGCCATTACTTTGCTTATACCGTACATCTTTGCACACAACAACTTTATAGGCACAGTTTGGGTTTGTGAGAGCTTGAGTTAAATTGTGCACATTTTTGTATAATTCTAAGATCTACAAACGCCAGAAATATTTGCTGTGGAGCCTCTCAGAATAAGACAACTGATGATATTGGGTACAACTGTACAACTGTACAGCACTGCAAAATATGTTGGCACTTTATAAATGCCAATAATAAATAAATAAAACAGAATTGTTAGAGCAAAAAAGAAGTTACTGCAGGTTTGGAGGCAGGGATAGAAATTGTGGGTTTATGGTCCAACATGGTTATTGGAAAAAGAAAAGCTAATTCAAATAAAATGAACACTCCAAGCACCATAACCACTACAGCCATTGTAATGTGTGTGGTGGGAGTTGTACCCTGATGCAGTCTGACAGTAGGATATCAAACCAGTTTAGCACAGTTTGACAACTTACTTAGATTTTGCTGTGTGCCTACACTACATCTGGTTCTTCTCCAGCCAGAGAAAGCAAACGTCTTTGTAGTAAAGCACAGTTGATGTAGGACTGCACTCATGTTTAGCAGATACTCTCAACCTATGTAAGCTCATTGAGCAGGGCTAGTTATCTGGTTACAATTACATGTATGTTAGTCCACCCATTTTACAGCGCTACAGAATCTGATGGTGCTATATAAATAATAAAATAATAATAATAATAATGTGTGCAGTCCTACATGGTCCTGATATGTTCTGTAGAGTAACCTGACTTTTCCACCTGGAGAAGACTCAGGTAAGTTGTCCAGCTGTCCTTAAACTGGCACTTTACAATAAATGTTGCACTGCATTCTCTGAGAAATATATATGCATACGAGTGTATAATTTTTTTTTGGGGGGGGGAGGGGTGGATCTTGGGTGAGTTTCCACACTTTTTCCCCCAGGACTTGACCCCTGGAGAGCAGTGACTATAACACGCCAAAGACAATGATTTCACAATTTTACGGTAATTTCTAGATCATAGAGTAATTTATAGTAATTTTCACAAACCTTCTTTTAATTAAAAAAATAATAATAAATAAAAATAATAGTAAATCAGGTTACTGCTTTATTTCCGTTTATAGCAAGGCAAACTCTCATTTGTACCTCTGTAATGCATGCATGATATTTATCTGGTGTTCGTTTTGGTAACTGCAGTAGGCAGCAAGTGACCAATAGTTCAGGTCTATAACGTTACCTCAATGTAACCAAAATCCTGCATGATCTAATTCCATGGTAATTATATTCACATGTGACTTTTAAACCCCAAGCATCAGACTGGAATGTGCTGTCTAAGAATATTTGTCTTTTCCTTTTTTTTCTAGACCACTAGAGGGCAGCCAACATCAAGGGAGATGTGTCGGAAAAAAAAAACTAAACTAACTGAATTGGTTCATTGGAAAATGTTACAACTTCCCACAAATTTTCAAAAATACTAGACAACTGCACAAAAGGCACATGTACGTTTATTTTCTGAGATTATTTGTGGCATGGCTCATGTAAAGATATATTCTTCTTTTAATATTCTCCTTTTATCTGCCTTACTGTATATAAATTATTTTAAAAAATAATATTTTGTTATGGCCAAAGCAAATATAACGTCTATTTGGGGCCTGAAAACCAACTTGCAAATCTGGATGATAATGGCTGAGTTTTAAGAAGCCTCATGTTGTGCTCCTTTGGAAATATTTGCCCATTCACCATAGCTCACTGTATATCTATTTATTTATACATTTATTATATCTCAGCGTGCTTTACTATTTTACAATAGAGATATGGGTCAGAAAGTACCTGTCAAGAAGAATAATATTAACAGATACTAGAGGTGAAGGTGACCATGTTAATACAAGCTTAAACTTTGGGGAAAGACCTTCAATACTCTGAATTTTCAGCAGCCCCTGGAGTGTTAAAATCTATTTAACGAACAGGGGATGCTTACATACCCAAATAACCCTGCCAGGGGTGTGCCCACCTCTTTGTGCTTGGAGTAGCATTGTTGTTCACTAAGGACTGAACAGCCCTTGTTCCAGAATTTGATGGAGAGCATTGATAGAGTTTATCAGGTTCTCAATGGACTCTTTTCTTGTTTTTAGCAGGTATCCATTATGCAGCCATAACTGCATATTGGGTTAATGAGCGTAACAAGGGTTGAAGTGAATTTACTGCACCTTGGCCATGGATGTGGTTATAGCTCTCTCTTGTTGTCATGATATCCCTAGGTATTTTATTAACCCACTCAGCAACCAAACACGGGATGAATGGGAAAAAAGAATCCTGGAAATAACACAAGTCTGTCTGTGAATTAACAAATCAAGTAAAAATTTTAAAAAAATGATTTTTTTGCTTTTTTTTCAGCAGACGAGAAATTAAAGGAATGCTTAAACGTTTAAAATAAATTTGTTATATACAAGCTACGTATGCTCCCTTTCACTTTTACATTCCAGTTCCCTGATGTGTACATTAAACAAACATTAAAAAAAAAAAAAAAAGCCTTCTGTGAGATCATCAGTACTAATGATCTTGGCGCAATTTGAAGCGTCTCATAGGGAGGCACTGAATCCTATGTTTCTCTATGAACAGCATTAGCAGCGTGAACATGAAGAAGGTCTGGTTTCAGACAAATATGAACATTTGTTTCTTAAAAATGCCAGTGTTTTACATTGTCCTACAAAAACAGCCATGGCCTGTGCACCAGAAAACATGTTTTTGGTGTTAGGAATGTCCTTTTAAATTTAGAAATTCAGGGACAATAGGTGAAGAGCCATATAAGTTGCCTTTAGGAAACACCCAACTTAGATTCATGATTGTAAGTTTGTGGTCATAGTAGTTGTACAGCTACACCAGGGCCAGCCTGTCCATAGACCGCGGTGGAGCCATGGCTCCAGGCGGCACTCTGACAGGGGTGGCATTTTGCCGCCCCTGTCATAATCTAAAACAGGAGTTCCCAACCCATGGGGGCGGTGCAGCAGCACTGCACAGGTTGGGAACCTGTGTGAGGGTCCATCGGGTGGCCAATGCCCTTAGGGCCACCTGATGAACATTTGCAATGAGGGGCCCGGTCGCGCGCTGTGACACTTTAACAACGTGACCATGGCCCCTTGTATCCAGAGGCGGCTCTAGACTTTATGAGGCCTTATGCGAAACTCAAACATGAGGCCCCACTAACAAAAATGTGGAAAAAATAGTGTGCAATACATGCACACTGTCACATATACACATTGATGCACAGTTTACCTGTGTATGTGCCTGAGAGTGTTTCTGACAGAGAGTATCCTTGTGTTTGTGTGTGTGAATGTATGTCTCTGTGAGCATGTTTGCGTTTTTGTCTGGGACCCTATGTGTATGGGGTAGCTGCTTGAAGTGTGTTGTATGTATGGGGGGGGTTGATGATGAGAGGGAGAGGCGGGTGATGGTGAGAGGGAGAAGGGTGATGGGAGATGGAGGAGGTGATAGTGCGAGGGAGAGGGGGTGATGGTGATGGTGAGAGGGGTTGATGGTGAGTGGGAGAGGGGTGATGGTGACAGGGAGAGGGAGGTGATGGTGTGGAGGAGTGATGGTGACAGGGAGTTGATGTTGAGGGAGGGGGGTTGATGGTGAGGGTGGGTACTGTGAGGGTGAGGGTGGGTGATGTGAGGGTGAGGGGGGTGATGTGAGAGGGAGGGTGATGGGGGTGAGGGGATGATGGAGAGGGAGGGGTGATGGAGGGTGAGGGAGGATGGAGAGGAGGGGTGATGGGGGGAGGGGAGGATGTGAGGGAGGGGGGTGATGGGTGAGGAGTGGGGTGATGCTGAGGAGGGGGCTGATGGGGAGTGGGGCTGATGTTGGGGGCTGATGCGAGGAGGGGGGTGATGGCAAGTGATGCTGAGGGGGCCGATGCTGAGGGATGGGATGGAGGGGGGTGATGCTGGAGGAGGGGGGCTGATGGTGAGGAGTGAGGCTGGATGGGTGAGGGAGGGGGCTGATGTTGGGGCTGGATGTTGGGGGGGCTGATGCTGAGGAGGGGGGGCTGATGGCTGGGGGGTGATGCTGAGGGGGGGGTTATGGTGGAGGAAGGGGGTGGTGGGAGAGAAGGGGTGATGTTG